GGGTTATTTCCTCTGTATCTTTACTGTGGAATAACTGTAGAGAATCATAGCTTCATAGCGCATGATAGATTAATCCTCTAAAATGAACCAAATCCCTACAGCACAATTTATTTACTTCCCTTTGCCAGTAATTCCCCCCCCCAAAGGAATTACTGCAACTCATCAGGTAAAATAACATATACACAATTAATCAGGGAATAGGAATATCTTCATAAACTCTAACAGATGATGGATGATTCCTGGTATACATCTTGTCAAATCTACAAACTCTTATTTTTAGAGTTTCACAGCGTTGAAACTTGGTGCTCAGCTGCAAAACCCATCACCAGCCTCCCAGCACAGAGCTCAGATACCAAGGCACCTCGTCTGCCTCCATGGAAAATGTCCAGGGAGAGTACTGCTTGGGAAGAGAGGGTGTTGACAACGGAAGAGTCAAAAAGTGGTAACACTCGAGAAAGATCCTTGGAAAATTCACATTATTTATTTATAAAGGGAAGTAGAATTTAAAAACAACTTTTTTTTTTTTTTTTACTTAAAACACAGAAGTGAATTATACAAGGGACATTTATGGGTAAAATGGCATTCCTATATTAGTGTATCTCATGAGTTTTGTTTATAAAGGTTGTGTGGAAAAATATGAGACCCAAAGAGTATCAAGATTAAGAACCTGTCAAAGAGATGTAGGTTCTGTTGGCCACGCAACATATGAGCTGTGTGACATAGGACCCATCACACAGGATGGTGGTGAAAGCCAAAGACAGATGCATTTCACAGATGCCCAGCAAAGTGCCAGGAACTCAACAAAAGGCCAGAGATGGTACTTACACTGTGGGAGAGAAACAGAGATACACAGGTGGGTGTGGTCATCGTAGGATAGGGTTAACATCACCAGCCCCCATAAGTCCAGCTCCCAGATACGACATGGAGGCCACTGCAGCCCCACATTATGTGCTGTAAGAGTTCACACTGACCTTCTGCAGGTCTGAAAATATCAGCCTCTAGTTGTTTCTCATTTGGGGGAAAGAATGCATAATTTTACTTAAGATTTTCTGCCCAGGGAGGTGAAAGATAGTCTTCCAAGCAGAGCGCCATTTTTGTATATTTACATTATCCCTTTTAGTCTATCCAGTAACTGCAGGAAGGAAATAGATTACAAACGTTTCAGAGGAAACAGATCAGAGGTCACATGACCTGCCCTTAGGCGGGGAGGTCCTTCTACCTGACCATTCCCATTCAGGCTTTGCAGTGAAGCTGAGGCTACCCTGAATCCTTTCTGGCTCATCTGCAATGACCCCAGAGCTGCATGTGGACACAGCTTCACAAGAGGGGCCTTACTGAGCACGTCTCAATATGCCAAGGTATCAGGGGTGCACGGGCCAAAAGGCAATGCCAATTTCCTTACTGATGTTAAGAAAAAAGTCAATGATAAAGTGACTTTCAGAAAACTGTGAATAAGAACCAATTAGTAAAGCAATCTAAGTTGTTTTTCATGGAATGCAATAATGGTGTTTTATATTTTAATTAGAAAAAATATATAGCCTAAACACATGTTTAATTTTCTTAAATTGCCCTGAATAAAAACCTTGCTCACTATGCTCAATTCTAATAGACGTCCTTCCACTCAGCGGGGTAGAAAGAACATGGACTTGCTCTGAAACTGACTTGGTCTGTGATACATGAACCAGCATTTGTCATTTTTGTGACCTTGGTCAAGTTACTTAAGCCCTCATAATCCTGGTTTCCTAATCCTTAAAACTTGTATCACGATAAATTGTAGCAGAATTAAACAGGATATTTGTAAAAGTGACCAATAACAGCTACGTTTTTTTCTTAGTTGTTAATTTACACCAAATATTTTGCTATGCCCTTCCAGCATTCTCTCTCTTTATTTCTCATTTGCTGTGGAGGGTGTTGTTCCCATTTTACAGACATTGAGGCTAAGGATGATTAATTTGCCAGTACCAGAAAATTGTCAAGCATCACAACTTGATTTTCAAACTTAATTTTATCCAACTCAAAAGCTTTTGCCATTAACTACCATTCCCACTGCTTCTAAAATGTAAAATCCAGACTCTGACAGGCAGTCTACAAATGAAGCTTGTCTTCTTTACACCCTTCCAATAGTGACTCAGTTTGCCCCATACTCTGCATCACCCCAGGTACTGATCAGTGTTTGCCACACTCTACGTCACTGCCCTTCCTACATCTGAGCTCGAGATGAAAAAATATCCCAAGTGTCTGAGAGAAGATCATGTAAATTATTAAAACTTAAAAGAGAACTCATGCAATGGCCTATGTGGTACCTTACTAATTGTCTTTTCTCATCTCAGGAAAAGTTACTTTTATAGTAACTCCCAATAGCTAAGTCGGCTAGGCCAGGCGAGGTGCTGCAGCAGAGACAGCACGGCTTTGGAGTCTGAGTTCAGAGCCTCAGGACTGGTATCTGCCACTGACTAGTTGTGTGACTGTGCACACGTTTTGATTCCCTCTCTGAGGATGTTTCCTCATCCACAGGGTGGGGAGAATGACCTACCCTTTAATATTGTGTGACGCTTACTGCCCGGCCCTTCACTGCATTAAGTAAACATTAGTTGCCTTTCCCCCCTCCCCTCACCCCATCCTTTTGGTATTATCTGCTGTTTTCACCTTCTGGAAGCAAAGAGAATTCTATTTTTTTTTTGCAGTTTTTGGCTGGGGCTGGGTTTGAACCCACCTCCTCCAGCATATGGGGCCAGCGCCCTACTCCTTTGAGCCACAGAAGCTGCCTGAGAATTCTCTATTTTTTTGCATTGGAATGCTCCTTTTTAGATAATACTTTGAAATAGTGAAACCTGTACAATGAGGCGAGTACTGCATGGCCAGGCAGTCCTCTGGGAAGCTGACGGATTTCTCTCAGGGATGTGCCACTGCTGAGTGAGGCTGAGAACTGAGCTTTCGGAATCGCTCTTAGACCAACCTCCTGAGTCAACTGAAGAAAGCGGCTCACTCCATGGTGTTTTTGACAAAAAGAAAACATAGATAGCAACATTTTTACCGTGTGTTTTATTTATTGGCCTTACCACAAAAGGATGAAGATCGTAAGTTAGGAAATACAGTGAAAATAAAGATATTTCCAAAAAGTACTGACACCCATTTTTCATGATGGGAGTAACACAGATATTTAGGAATACCCCCTAATGGTGACTTGATAAGGGATCTTCACTTATGTGCCCAAACTAGATTATTCACTTTAAACACTTGTCTAATGTGAAACTTAACTGCACAAAAAAATTACCATCAGTTCAACAGAATTTATTAAATACTTCTGATAACCCAATAACATTTCAGAAGAAATCCTTTGGATTATTGTCTGGAAATTTTTCGATTGCATACTCCATCAGTCATAGAATTTTCAGTATGCACTCCGAATTTCTGCAAAGCAATTTACTTATAATCATGTGCATTTATGCTATGGACCAAATGTTCCTGCTCCAAATTCATATATTGAAATTCTAACCCCAAAATGATAGGATCTGGTTGTGGGGTGCTTGGGAGGTAATTAGGTCATAAGGGGGGCCCCTCATGAATGGCCTTAAGTGCCCTTATAAAAAGCCACAAGAGCTTGCTTGCTTTTTTTTCTCTGCTTTTCACCCGTGAGGACGCAGCAAGGTGACTGTCATCTGTAAAGCAGGAAAGCAGGCCCCCACCAGAACTGAATTTGCCAACACCTTGTCCTTGGCCTACTCAGCCTCCAGAGCTGTGAGAAATGCATGTTTGTTGTTTAAGCCACATGGTCTATGGTACTTTGTTACAGCAGCAAAGCCAACTAAGACAATATGTTTCTATAAAGTATATGATTATGAAACAGATAACAGAAATTAGAAGTGTACAATACAGATGTATCTTAGACATCTGTGTGTGTCCATGGGTCTGGGGTGCCGGGCAGATATGTACACATCCTGTGTTGGGGAAGATTTTGAGATGATAACTGTGATGAAGGGGCTAAGACTCTTCTTTGCAAATTATTCCCTGGCATTGTTGCCTTCCATATCTGTTTAGCAGGCAATGCACACTCACCCACAGGGCAGTTTAGGGAGACAGACTCGAATGCAGTTCACCATTACTTGTCTAGGACACGAAGCTTAACATCATTGCTAAAAAGTGCATGCTGTGCTGACGTAAGACTACCAAATAATGGGAGGAGAAACACATAAATAAAGATATAACAAGGCATTTTTGTAAGTGTGATATGTAAGGGATCCAAAGCTAGAGACAGCTTTGTCTACAGTAACGGCAGGCGAGGTGTTCTGAACTGACAGTTATAACCTAAACCTCTGACTGTGTTTTCAGCCAAAAAGCCTGTCACAGTGGCATCATCCCTGGAGAAGCACTCTTGCAGGTGTCATAACACTGTTCTAAGCTGCTTACTGTAAAAACAATAGCAAGAAAAAAAGGTGGGGGGCGTAGTGAGCCCACCTGTCGCTGACTTTGTGTATGCAAGGGTGGGGGAGGGAGTGGGGTGGAGTGGGATGTAATCTCCATTGCCGTTCTTATGCTTACTAAAGTTACAGAAAAACTTTCATTCATAAATCCAAAGGAACTTTAGACAAAAGATTACTTGCTTATTTCAAGTGGCATTCCACAGCAACAACTGATGTAACAAATTAATTCAAACAATTTCTTAAACTTCTCGAACGGGATACTATCTGATTTTATAATGTTTTCAGGTCCATTTCAATTTACAAAAAAAAATTGTTTTTGTAAAAATTATGAGTGTAAAAAACTTGGTCTTGATGGAGAGAACTCAAGTCACTTTCAAGGAAGAAAAAAGAACTCCATGTCTAAGTAGCTTAGTAAAATTTACCAGTTCATATGAAAGAACCAAGAAGCCACTGGGAATAGATAAGAGGAAATCTGACAGACTGCCATCAAAACACTTGAAAGTGTTTTTAAATGGCCCTTGGTTTTAGAATGAAATAGAATTCTAACAAGGTTTAAAGTAAACCGTCTTGATTTCTTACCTTGCCATACTTCTGTGCGTAAGACCCTGTGAGCAGTGAGTGAAAAACAATGATGGTTTCATCCAAATCCCAGACAAACACACGCTGAAGACAAAAAGTAAACATCAGAAAATGACAGGGTTTAAGAAAGCGAATCTCTTTACAATGAGATAGCATCTCCCTTCATTGTTGTCTATCATCCTTGATACCATTTCATAGAAAATAATCCTGCTTCATTAAATGCTTTTCAAATTTTCAGAACCTAACTCCAAGGAGCAAGAGTGATAGGAATAATAACTTTAAACGTCAGAAGCCCTAAGCTGAATACATTTAGGCAAACAGTTACTTGTAGTTAATACCCCGAACAGACACATTTGGATTTTCTGACAGAAGTGTGCTTGAAACTGTACCCATTTTAAAGGTTCATACTTCATGGATTCATAACATCTTGCAATTTATGCAAAGAATTGAATTTAAAAAAAATAGGTAAAAGAATCAATAAATAACCACTAAACAGGTATCACAAAATATGGAGCTTTTGGTCAGCTTAGGGCAACATGTGTGTTGTTTGAACCTCTGTGAAGTTCTGAAAAATTTCAAATTATTGAGCATCATTTCAAAGTTAGGTGACTTCATACATACTTAGGTTTCTAACCACAGCACAGACATTGTGGCCAGGTTGGCTGACATTTCCAAGGGTAGTGATGGGCAAATCTCTCAGAATGGGTCAACGTTCTTAGCTTTCCCCCATGGACTGGGCTCCCAAGCCAAGTCACTCAATTATATCACCTGTCAGGTTCTTGTAGGGATTTAAACTTGCCGTTGTTCTGGTTTAGAAAATTGTCTCTTATCAAGAGGCATAACATCTGATACTTGGTTTTACTCAATCTGGAGCTTTAATTTTTTCTTTGCTGAAGTATTTGGTTATGTAAGAAGTAAGATATTATGGTTAAGCCTCTGATATTTTACAGTAAAAATCAACTTGCTTATTAATATAGCTATCTTTCAAAAGAGCTCACAAGTAGAAAAAAAGTGACATACACTACAATTTTCAGAGATATAAAGATCTGAATAAATGATAATTTTTTCCCCTGTTTTCAGAGGGTGACCTTGTCTTTCCATAGAGATTACTTTCATTGTTTAAAATTGAATGACCCATAGAGATGTCTTTCATTATTGGAGTACTATAGGACACACTATTTTTCAGAACATCATCCCACAAAGAATGGCTTTATTTTAAAAATTTGTTTGTGCCAAAAGATGCAGTTGCTTCAGATCTAGAATTTTCAAAGCAATTTCACTTTTAAGTTGTTATTGTTTTTAATTTTGCCATTATAATGAATAAAAATCTCAAACTCAGGTGTTGTAAATGTCCACTCAATTCATGATATGGCTTTCTTTAAGCTTGAAACTTAATAGGACTGCAAGGTCTATAATCTTCCATTCAATAAAATAAAGCATCATACTATACTCCTTAAGAATAGGCAGGCATACCTCCAGGTCACTATCAGGAGGTGGGGAGGGATTATTTTTTCGGCCTCTTCCTCTGGACTTAGACCCAGAACTCCTACATGTCCTCTCGTCAAGATCTTTGATGGGCGTGGAGGGGCTCTGCACAGTATCAAACTCTCCTGTAAATAACATAACTTGAGTCAACAAGAGCACTTCATTTTAAAGTAAAAGCTATATTAATTAGTTTGATGTATGCACGTCAAATTGTATAAAAAGTTCAACACATTGTACTCCACATGTGCATAAATGTATTCATGATCTATGTGTATGTGACTTAATAAAAAAAATTGCAAAAAAAAGAGAAAAAAGAAAAAAAAGATCAAGCATGAGTCTCCATTATTAATTATCTTAACAAATTCCTATACAATAGAACCCTCCTTATGAGAAAGAAAGATTTATAATCCCTAGTACACAGAGATCTAATTCAGTCAAAAATTGTACAGGTCCCCCAAATCCCTCCTACTTATAGTCTATATGATCTATTAAACCTCAATGTCTTCATATCCCAAATGCCTTCAAAATCCTGTTTGCACCCTCACCTACACATTTATCTCTATTACAGTTCAGAGACTGAGATGTCTTCTTCTGGATCAATCCCATCTGTCGATTTGTAAGCTTGGCTTCCCAGGCCCACCTGATAGGGGAACAGCCTCCATTTGTCAAACCCACTTTCCCTTACAAGTTTAAAAGTCTTGCCCTTGGCTTCATATTTCCCAGGTAGACACCTATGTGCTTGCTATCTTCTCTTTTAAATAAATCTCCTTAAAACAACTGTGCGTAACAGTGTTTCCAACAGAAATATAATGTGGGCCACAAAAATGATCACACATACAATTTTAAACTTTTAAGCCATCACATTAAAAAAAAAGATACAGGTAAAATAATCTTATTCATTTATTTTAATTGACTCAACATATCAAAATGTTACTTCAGCATATGATCAATATGAAAGTTGTCAATGACCAGTTTAACATTCTCTTTCATACCCAGTCTGTGAAATCATATGCATATTCTCCATGTACAGCAGAGCTCCATCTAGTAGCCACATTGCAAGTTTTCAACAGCCACACCTGCCCAGTGGCATATTTGTCTCTACTTTGTCGCATGTGATTTATCAAAATCTAGCTTCAGTTCACAAAAAACGTTAGTAAAAAGAATCTCGCTAAGGATCCCCACTAACTATCTCATTGATGAGTGCAACAGCAGTAGACAGCCTCAGTTCTTATCTTCCTGGATCTCTGGGCTGTGTTTGATCCTCAACCTGTGAGTTGCGACCCCTTTGTAACAATGAAAATACATTGCGGCCTTAGGAAGGCTGAGAAGCACTGTGACTTAAGGAGGTGGTTCTGCCACCTCCTCGGAACCATTGCATGCCAGCTGGTACCCGTCACTGGCCCAGTTCTAGAAGCTCTCTCTTCTGGGAGACAAGGGCTCCTGTCCTTATTCCTTCTAAGCTGGTAATTAAGAGTTCTACCTGTTGATCGCTGTGCTTCTAACTCCCCACACCCTGAGGGATTTGAAACTCTCATCTATTAGTGACATCACATATCAGGACGAGACCTCAATCTGTATCTCCAACAATGCCATATCTTAAGTTTCGGATTTTAATGTCTGCATGAGATAACGAAATCTCTGACACATCTAAAGCTTAGTAACAACTTATCTAAGGAGGCAGAAAGTACTGAGGGGAGGCAAACCTGTGGGAGGGGTTGTTAAAATAAACTGAGCCCCCTGTGAGGAACAACTTAACAAGTCAAAGAGTCAGAATGACTGTGTGATGTCAAGTATTTTACTCAGTCTCCCTGAATCTCAGTTTCATTGTATATCCATGGCTAATAATAGCTACCTTTTTGGATTATTGAGGGATAGATATAATTTATATTTAATTTGATTTAAATCACACGTATATAATAAAAATATCTAGGAGAGCCATATGGCAAACTACATTAAATTTTAATTCCATATATTTAAACATAAAGGTGTTATGACTATCAGCTTTATCATTAAATTAAAATAAAATAATCCTGAGGGCAACCACACAGTTATAATCTAAATAAATCTGAACAAACTTAGGCATTTTTTTTCCCGAGACATAGTAATTTTTATATAGATATCTCTAATCATTTCTATTGGTCTTAACATTTTCTCTGGGGAATGCATGTTAAGTGCATGTTATAGGGCAGGATCAAAAAATATGTCTGTATTCTTAAGTATTATTTTCTTTAAAAATATTGCTGGAAAAGTTCATTGCATGGGTCTCTGATACTGCCTAAGGGAGAGTAAATAGCATAACAGTAAAGACTGTAGGTATAGGATTGAATACAGCCCCATCTTGCAGGAAATAATGTTTCAGCTTACTACGTGCACATAAAACGAGACTCTGCTTATACTTGAGCACATACAACTCTTAAATACCATCATTCAAAAACTGCCCCATTTCTAATTCTTTTTTGAGACAAAATTTCTTAATTCCTCTATCACACAAATTAAATGCTTACTTTCATATAAATTGGTGATTCAAATTAACCCTTGCTTATTAAGCAAGAGTTAAAAAAAAGTTTTTTGGATGATTTCCCATAAAACCTTTCTTTATTTTCATTATAGATCAATTTTTAGGTGTTATCATCAGGCAGCTTTGATGTTGCCACTGTGCAAGAGCTGGAAGGACAAAGACTGGCAAAATCCCAGTTATCATGACCGGTGTTGGGAGGTTTTTGATTATAGATTAGATCTGTAATCTAAAGGAGGCATGTAGCAGGAGGAACTCTGCTATTCCACCTGTCATGGCAAGGGGCTGAAAAGAGCAGAAGAGGGCAGAGAAAAACACCCTGGCTGTAAGAAGTGTCTGGGCTTAGGGCAGAGAAACATCACAGCCATAGGAAGTGGGTTTAGTAAATGTACGACTTCATTCCCACTGATTCTTTTCAAGTTACTGAAAGATCCTTTTTAAAAGGGCTCTAGGAATCTGGACAAATCATGAACAGGGGTGCTTTGTTTGGAGGGGGCAGGGAGGTAAATGTGTAGCCTTTTAGAAAAACTGTGAAGAGTAGCTCCACATTTATTAAACTTTTAGCATGTGTGTCTATATATGTATGTGTATGTATATATACAAGATCAGATAATTAAGTTCATGAACTCATCCTAGAAAAAGTGCTACACACTGCCTTGCTGAATATCACTATGGTCACCTTGAAAGGACTCCCCTTGGGAAACTCCCCTTGATGCTAGCACCTAGTCTACCCTTCAAAGCAACTTTGGAACTGACCAAAATCAGTATTTTTCTGGAATGACCATCAGTGCTGTCATCATACAGCACACAAAAACACTCAATGACAATATGAATGCCACTCAGTAAGGCACCACCACACATTGACAGAAACACAGCTGTGAGACACTGATATACCAAGGTTATAAAACATTACCAAGTTGTTTGCACGGTGCTGCCAATGCATGGTGACAAGTTTGTGAACTTAACTTAATGACAGCTCTGATGGCCATTCCAGAAAAAGAGTAGCAAAATTGCTTTGAAGGGTGGCCTACACATCAGTGGACTGCTTCCCAAGGAGAGTACCTCGAAGGTGACTGTAGTGATATTCAAAATGAGATCTGTACCACATTTTCTAGGATGAGTTTACAAAATTAATTGTCTAGCCTCAATATGTTAATTAGCTCCATTTAATAATTTCATAATGTTTCAAACAAAGTGCTGTAAACACAGTTAATGCATACACATACAATGCTTTTTAACACACAGGGTCTTACTATGTTGCTCAGGCTGGACTCAAACTCCTAGGTTCAAGCAATCCTCCTGCCTCAGCCTCTGAAGCAGCTGAGACAGGTGCTTGCCATTATGCTTATATATACACAATTTTCATTTGCCAATTGAAAATACATTTAGAAAAGAGTTATGTGATACTATGCAATTCTGTGCCAAGGAGTGCCAAGGAATCTGTTGAAAGAAGTTCATAGCAGTAAAAGAGCACATCCTGCAGAGGGCGTGTCATACATCTGGTCTCCCCTAGCCGTTGCCTGGGTGGAATTGTACTGACCTGTATTCCCTTTGAAGGTGCTATCCTTTCTTCTGATAAAGGGTAAAACAAGGAACTTGAGCTCAACTGGTCATTAAACATTTGTTGATGCTTTTTTTTTTTTAAAGGAGAAAGCTGTTAATTCCGGTGCCTCTGCCAAGTTTCACTCAGGTAACTGCACAAGGGCACAGGGATGCTGTAGGTGGTGAAAATGTAAACTGGCAGGGCCGTTTGCTGGGATCCATCATTTCTATCTAAATCCTCTTGTTAGTTTCAATAAGATGAGTTAGCTTCCTGTCACGTGAAATGCCATGAAGGTCTGAGAAGGCTGCTGTGCTCTGCCTGTGAGACTGGCTTCTTTTCAGAGGGTGAATTGATCTTACCCTATTCTTTACATTTCTGGAGCTCTTCTTAAGTTCAATGAACGACTGTGTTGTAATGTTTACTGAGGTCCCAGGGTAAAGCATGATATTGTTATAGGTCACTAACTCCTCTTCGAAGAGGACCAGCTATAAAAATATCTCTCATCTTCATGTGCTCATCAGTCCTTAAACTTTCTGAATACAAATAAAAAATACCTCATATAAATAAACTTTATATTAAGAGCAAAGAAAACTCTTTACGAAGATAATGAACTAAAATCTCTGTTTCTAATCAGCGTGGTGAGTTTTCTTTCAATCCATCGTCAAGCTGCCTACTAAGGTAAAGTAAAATAACTGAACGCTATTTGCCATTTCCAAATAACAGCGGTCATTAACAACTGCCCTAGGCTTTTCTTAACCTGACATTATACATGATTAAATAATTATTCTTTAATCGGTACAGAAATGAATAACTGCACCCTGTAAGTTTTGATATTTAGATCTGACTTTATTTCATTAGGCTTATCTCCAAATCAGAACAACCAGCTGGCTCTTGTTTGTCATAAGTTATGCTTTTATTATAAAAATGAAGCCAACAGTGAATGTTCTATGAGAAAATGTGGATTTAACTATTAGGTTTCTGCTTTAACTCTAAAAGGTAGAACTGGTCATTGGGAAAGACTTTTCCTATCCTTGAGCTAAATATATCAGACTCTGTCAGTAATAAAGAAAATCCCACAGTTACAAACTTGTTTGCTTTGGGGATGAATGCCAGTTCTGAAGAGGCAACATTAAACTTGAAACTACTTCGGCTGCAGGTCTGAGGTCACAGAATTCTTTAAAGATGCTGGCAAGTGTGTTGTGATGATTTGGGGAGAAGAATATTGATAGAAGTTGAAATAACTTCTTTAAATTCAAGAAAAAGAAAGTCTAATAAAATCTTTAAATTATATTAAACTGTATTTTTTTTTTTTTGCATGAGCAATGAGTGGAAACTTGAGGAAATAGCAGCATTCAGACAGTGAATATGAGAATGTGACCTGTGAGTGAATGTGCCACATTCAAAGTCACACGTTCAGCATATCCCCCTGCCTGCATATAGGATTTTTAATAGGAATAAAATAGCTAGTCTCAATGTTAATTATTTTTTAGCTAGCAGAAAGGAACATTTATATCTTCCTGTGGAGGAACTTTATTGGGATCACAGGGAAACCTGCAAAAACAACCTTTTACTCCAAGTTGTCCCCAGCATATAGCATAGTTTATTATTTATTTATTTATTGCAGTTTTTGGCCGGGGGCTGGGTTTGAACCCACCACCTCCAGCTTATGGGGCTAGCGCCCTACTCCTTTGAGCCACAGGCACCACCCATATAGCATAGTTTAGCACACAAACGGTTTTCATTCATTGCAGTTGTCCAGTAAATTCAAAACCTCCCCATGGGTCTTGTCTAGCATTCAGTCTCTGACACTTGGATGATCAGAGACTTCTAAGGCCTTGTTTTTGAATACACTTGCCCTACCTTGTTTTACCCTGAACAGAAACCATTGAGAAAAACCTCCCACGGTGTAGTGGGAGTTTGCCAATATTCTTCCTACCCAAAATGTCTCCACTGTTCATAAAGCAAGGATTCTGAAATCATTCATTTTTGAATTAAGGTAAAGCTCTTTCATGAAACACAAGGATTAACTAAAAGAGGATCAGGACAGATTTGGAACAGGTGATTTAGGCTGAAACTAACATGCCCAAGAGCACAATACTTATGGGCATTTAAGGGCTCAGAAAAGTGCCCTTGGGGCTTCATTTTCTAACCCCAGTCCTGGCCCTGCAAGGGTACAAATGCTCAGGGAATCAGAGATAGTTGAAAAGCCTAAATAAGAAATTCTAATAGGATAAGGACCAGAAATTCAAAGGGGCTATATGTTCACTTGTAAGAGGATCTAAAGTAAGTTTCCCCTCAGTCTATATTTAGAGACCATGGTCAGAACAGGGAACCCAAAACAATGAATGTTAGCATTTCATCCATTCATGATCTTGGCTGTGAAAAAAATGCTAAACTCCGTTATGTTCCATTGCTCTGTGTTCCACTGCTCTAGTTCCACTGCTTCTTCTTTATGTTCAAATTAGTTCACTTGTTGACACTCCTCATATTATTACCATTTTCCCTTTCTCCGTAGTCATCACTGTTGCAATTATCTGCTTGATCTTTGCCTTGCTTGTTCAGTGCAAGCTACAGGAGTGCAGAGAGCTCATTCACGTTTCTAGCACAGTGCTGATAACTAATAGGCATGCAGTAAGTAATCATTTACTGGCACTGAATCATCTTGGCCCTGCTAGTCTAGCTGTAAAGAATTTATAGACTTGTGACCCAGTTTCCCTATTTTCTATCTGGATAAAAAAGAAGCAGAGATAAATTTGGATCTTGCAAATAATTGAAGGTGGAAAAATATACTTCAACACATTAATAACATCTACAAACATTTTAACCTCAATATTTTCTTCCTTTTTGTTTTTCAGAGAGAGGGTCTTGCTCTGTTGCCCAGGCTGGTGTGCAGAAGTGCAGCCACAGCTCACTGCAGCCTCAAACTCCTAGGTTCGAGCAATCCTCCTGCCTCAGCTTCCCAAGTAGCTATTATCTTGGCTGGTTATTAATCTCACTTTTTGTAGTGATCTTAAGAGTTCCCTGTATATTCTGGATACAAGTCATTTATCAGACATGTTTTGCAACTATTTTCTCCCATTCTGTGGCTTGTCTTTTTATCCACATAACAGTGTCTTTTTTCTTTCTTTCTTTCTTTTTTTTTTTTTTTTTTTTTTTTTTGCAGTTTTTGGCCAGGGCTGGGTTTGAACCCACCACCTCCAATATATGGGGCTGGCGCCCTACTCCTTGAGCCACAGGTGCCGCCCCGTAACAGTGTCTTTTGAAGAGCAGAAGTTCTTAATTTTATGAAACCTAATTTTTTCTTTTCCAGATTATGTTCTTATTGTTCTATCTGTTATAGTTTCAGTTTTTATGTATAGTTTTATGATCCATCTATGTTAACTTATGCATATGAGTTAACAGTTCATCTTCTATTCTCTTTTGCATATGGATGTCCAATCGTTCCAACACTTTTCGTTGAAAAACTATTCATTCTCCATTCAACTGCCTTTGCACCTTGGTCAAAAATCAGTTTTCCAGTACATGTAGGAGTCTGTACGCTATTGTTCCATTGCTCTGTGTATCTATCCTTTTCCTAATCCTGCACTTTCTTTGAGAACTGTACTTTATAAATCTTCAAATAAGGTAATGTGAGTCTTCAAATTTTGTTCTTATTTTTCAAAATTGTTTTGACTATTTTATTTCCTTGCAGCTTTTTAAAAAAAGAACCATCTCAATATTTTCTATAAAAGTCCTTGAATTTTGATTGCGATTACAAAGAATTAATGTTAAACTTGCTTTTAACTTTAAATACTTCAGCTGTGTCAAATATGTTCAGCAACACAGCAAGCTTCAGATAAATGAAACATACAATGGATTTTAAATATGCCCTGATCAGACAAAGACATTAACCTGTCTACCACTGATCCCCTGAATCGAGGACTGTAGGCAATGTTCAGTGGCTAGCACTACTGATGACTCACACAGGTGAAGTTAAGCAGTCTCTTCAGCATAAAGGAAATATTATCAGTTATAATCAAGGAAGATAATATTAAAACCTTTTTTTTTGGAGACAAAGTCTCATTTTTTGGTAGAGTGCCCTGGTGTCATAGCTGACAGCAACCTCAAACTCTTAGTTTCAAGAGATCCTTTTGCCTTAGCCTCCTGAGTAACTGGGATTACAGGCACCTGCCACAATGCAAGGCTAGTTTTCTATTTTTAGTAGAGATGGGGGGGTCTCACTATTGCTCAGGCTGGTCTCGAACTCCTGAGCTCAGGCACTCCTCCTCCTGCCTCAGCCTCCCAGGGTGTGAGGATTACAGGCGTGAACTACCACACACAGCCCCTAAAAGTTTTTTTGGTTGTCAAAAATTTGGTTGAAAATCCGTTCACTTTTTAATTCCATACGCATAGGTCTACTATCATTTTGAGATTAAAATTTCCTAACTGCCCCACATCTAAAAGAAGGGTTCCAGTGGGCACTTCAGCCATGTTTTTCAAAGTTCCATTTCCTCCTATTATTAGGTACTGCAAAACATATGAAAGTATTTCACCTGGGTGAAGATCTGTACCTGGTTGGTTAGTCAGTCCTGGAAGCGACTCCTGCAGCTGATAGGTGGAGGCGGAGGACGGCGCGCCGTCGGCCGTGTTGTTGGACGTCATGTACGCACCGTACGTGGACGCTGAGTAGTACTGAGCATACTGGTTTTGGCCAAAGGCTGTATAGGATGGATAGTCCTGAAATAATAATTTAAATGTGTGTGTTTAAAAGAGAAATCTGCCCTCTAGTATGTGCCAAAGAAAACCGATCCCTATAACAAAGGAAAGACTAACATTCAGCTCTATTTCTTCCTAGTCCCCAGCTTTGAGATGATCCAGATGAATGGAGACAGCTTGGCAGGTGTCTTTGCCTACACACATAATGAACAACTACCCACTGGTCTTACAAACCAGGTCCAGTACACAAATTTCAAACTGCCTAAAGCTTGTATATGCAACTTTGCTCCTGATCATTGCTCACCCAAGGATTCACACCATAAGGACCTATATATACATAAGGACCATATGTTTAAAGAACAGAGGAGACGGGGTCAGTTCTTTCCAAATAAATCAGCTCTTATACATCTCCTATCATCACCAGCAAGGACTTGGGCTTGCTCTCCCCCCTTCCACACAGACCTCAGTTTGTATTTTTGTAATTTCTTGTTCCCCTTACTGAATACCCTTGATAAATTTGCTTTCTTGGCAGACGGTAAAGAGCAAATAAAAGATGACTAAGATTTTATTTTTGTTACCCAGCCTCTCACCAACTATGAGGCCTGAAAACTGAAAGTGTTCAGGAGGTTTTCAAATAATTTAGTTTCTCTCCTTCGTTACAGAGAGAAATGAATGCATTGCATCAATTCCCCTGATCTTCCTTTTATTAATTTTTTTTTCAGTTTTGGCCGGGGCTGGGCTTGAATCCACCACGTCTGGCATATGGGGCCAGCACCCCACTCCTTGAGCCACAGATGCCACCCTATTAAAAAATTTTAAGAACTTTAAAATAATAAGAATTATCCTTTAAAAATCCTTGTACAGATTCAGATGATAAGCAAAAATCTGTTGTGATAACTGGTGTTTAATCTATCTAGCACGTTTTAGTACAAAATCTTATCAGTGATGACAAATCCTTGGACAGAATTAAAATCCCCTGATGAGACATGTTCTAAAGAAAATAAAAGTCCAGCATGTGATATGGTTTCCAAAAAAAGGAAATTATCTATATCAGTAAAAATGTGTATTATCAGACAAGATGAAATAATATAGCAGAAAGTTAAAATTCTAGTAGGCTATTAATTTTGAGATCTGATGTTCCCCACTACTTACTATGACCTGTGAGCCAAGAGAAAAACCTCTTATCTATATCTGAACAAGGTTCCTAGTAACATACTCTTCTCAGAATAAAATGCTGCTGGCAGACATTTCATAGTGCTTACTTTGTGTCAAGAAACTGTTCCTAGGGCTTTAAGTAGATTTACTCATTTAATCCCCACAACCTCCTCTGTGATGTTATCACTTTCATTTTACATTGTAGGGTACTAAGGCTCAGAGTGGTTAAGTGATTTGTACAAAGTCACACAGCTAGCAAGTTTCAGAGCTGGACTTTGAACTCAGAGACCTTAATTCTAGCCTCTCTGGGTTGAAGCTCTCTGTTAACCTGCTAATGCACTCAGAGGAAGATGAAGTTACATACTGGAAGGTCCAGGCTACTAGCCTCTGGAAAATACAATGTTTGTACTCAAATCTATCTTGAAGATGTCCCCCTTCTCTTTATTTCCACTATTGTCCCCTCATTCAAGCTTCTTTCACTTCCTGTTGCAGCCAACAAACTAGTTTTCTAATTTATCTCCTTGTTTCTACCTTTTGTTCTTTCTCCAAAGACCCTCAACACATAAATTATATGATGCTACCCTCCTGCTCAAAATCCTTTAATAGCTTCCCATTGGGCTTGGAATAGAATCCAAATTCCCAATTGTACACCACAGGGCCCTAGTGAGCAGACCTCTGCCTCTCTGCTAATGTACGTTCCCCGTCGTCCCCTCAGGCCCTGACTAAAACTCAAGCTATCTTTGAGCCCAAGGACACACGGTGTCTTCTACCTGTTGGTTTTGTGCACACTGATTTCTTTGCCTGAAACATCCCGACCCTCATTCTTTACCTAACTCTTAGAAGTCTTGGCCTAAATGTGGTCACCATAGAGGAGGCTTCCCCTGTTCAAAATTATACTTCTGTTAATATTCTAATTATCTCTTTCCTCTCCCTTCATGCTTTCTAATTCTGTATGTATTTGTGTCATTACTGGTTTGTTGTCTGCTCCTCACAGTAGGCTGGAAGTTCCATGACGTAAGAATCAGACTGCTCCACCCCTGCCCCATCATCACCCCAATATAGAGACCAATTCCTAACACTTAATGGGCACTCACTAAATATTTGCTAAAAGAATAAACCGGTGTTCACACCATGCTCCAAAATGTAGGTTGCATTTTACGTTGCATCCATTGTATTTAAATCTTCAGATGGAATTGGATCTGTTTTATGATTCAATCTTTATGAAATACATTTTTCTTCTCCTTTGTGTATCTTTTTTTAGTCCTTCCGATTGGAGTGAAGTAGTTCTCCCTTCATACTACAACTCTGCCTAGTGTATGTTTCTATTACATTAGTTATATCCCACCTCCGTATATATTAGTTTTCATGTCTGTTTCCCCAGGAAGACTGTGCCCTTCTACAGAATAGGGAACAAAAACATAAAAATAAAAAGTAGGGAACAATGACTTACTATTTTTGATTTGTTGATGCCTCGTCAAAAATCTAATGTATAGCAAAGTGCTCCATAAATGTCTGCTGAATTGATAAGTGAGGGAAATTAAGCTATCAAAAATTCTCAATTTTTAAAACTGAAACAGAGGCTTTGATTATTTTCAAACTAATGCCAAACTAGAAAAAAATTATTATTCTAAAAAATTATTATTCCACACTACTTTAATAATTAATATTTCCTTTCTGTCTTTTGTTATATTTATGAAATTAAAATAAGACAATTAATAGAATTCCTTTAGTAAATCCAGAAAGCAAGTGTTTGTGCAATAACTGACACTACAGAATATAAAAAAGGCCAGGAAAACGTGAAAGTAAAATGATGCCTTGAAAGCCCAGATATCGGCTTCCCTTTAATCGCAGCTACTCTGAACGTGACTGAGAATCAAGAAATAAGGACAAAGCATTCTGGAGTGTCAACATATACTACAAATTCATCTCACTTGGAGCGGATTCAGTCATTTGGGGACATTCACTCACAATTCTAACAAAACAGATTTAAAAACTCATCAAAATCTGAAGGAAACAAGATCAGGAGAAGGACTAAGGTCTATTAGAGACAAGCACAGTGACAGAAGCAAAATGTTACAGCTGTAGGGGAAAAAAGAACCAAATATTTATTAAAAGAAAATCACAGAACTAAAAAATAAAAATAGTTTTAAAAAGTCAACAATACTTCTAGAGGCCTTTGGTATAGTTACAAGTGATACTTTTTAGAACTTAAATGTCATAAAATCTATAGCAATATCCTGAGATTGATTTTAGTTCAATCTGTTAACTAATATTTACAGAGCTTTTTATCATTTTTTATCATTCAGCTTTTTATCATTCAGCCATTAAAAAAGATGGAGCCTTCACATCTTTTACATTTACCTGGATGGAGCTGAAATACATTCTTCTCAGTAAAGTATCACAAGAATGGAAAATTAAATATCCAAGGTACTCCATACTAACATGAAACCAATATATAAACAATTACATGCCCAAGAAAACACAAATATATTCTAGTATTGGGGCGAAGGAGGACAAAGTGGGGAGGGGACTGAGAATGACTGGCAGAAGGAGGGAGGGCATGTGGGGGGATCTCACTTACGGTGCACATGGTGGGGGTGTGTGACACACCCTCTGGGTGAGGGGCTCTTTTACAACTGGAACTTTACCCTGCAAGGGAGAACTATGCAATCTAAAAATTTCTACCCTCATATGAATTTGAAATAAAGAGAAAAAAACTAAAAAAAAAAAAAAATTCTTAGCTTTCATAAAAACATTACTTTTAGTGTACTTTAAGGTAATAGAAAATATCCAATACATTTTCTAATTCCATACCAAATGGTTAAAACAACTAAAGATTAAATGCACTCAGGAAATCTAAAACAGCCAGAATAACACCCATTCAAGGAATTCTGGGTAGCTAAATTTTTATAGTCCTGAAAGGCTACCTTAATCTTAAATTCAGAAACCTTATTCTGGGAAAGTATACACTTATATAGGAACCTGAAAGTACTCTTAATGATCTGAAATAGATACAAAAAGCATAAATATAAAAAGCTACTATACCTGTTGTGAACCACTGAAATTCGTTGAATTGGAAACTGAATTATTTGCATAAATAGTAGAGGACGGTGCAAAACTAGAACCTAGAGGTAGAAGACAAACTGGTTTTAAAAAGTGTTCCTTGCAAAATGATAAAAATATTTCACATTGTAGAATTCAGTGAGAGAACTAAATTTTGAATTTTATGAGGGAGGCAGTGAAATTTGAAGTTGAGTGATTTATACAGAAAATGTGCTCAGCGGTGTCCTTCCTGTAACAACTGCTAAGCCCTTTCCTCGTGTATCTATTGGGCTAAACAGAAGCATATGGGGAGCGTCTTCCTCAGAACTGAGGCTAACGTTTAAGGGTGAAGTGTCCGGGCTACTCAAGGAACCAAACTTTTCACAGACTAAGACTACTTTCAGGAAACCCCTGGAACTTTCAAATCCTATCAACTGCATTTGCATACAGAAATCACTTGAGTTCCACATTTGGATAGAGTTATTAGCCCTGGAAATAACCACACAGAACCCATTTAGAATTGCTGCTGGCAGCTCTCTGTCTTTCTGTTCCCCCATGTCCTTTGTTTAGAACAAAAATAGCTGCAAATTAGGGTTCAGATTCAGAGAGAACTATTTCTCTAAAACCTCACTACAAGGTCTATATTTAATTACTTTTTCAAAGCAGGGCAAAAACAAGTGCGCTATCCATTATAGATTTAAAAAGTGTCTTTATGGAATGTCTTTGTCAAGGATTAAAATGAAAGACTATTAAGGAAGGTGGTGAAACAAGCATGTTTGGCTGCAATTTATTATGTAACCAATGCAACTGACCTGGCCTGAACCAGCCCATATGAAAGTATGTGGGGGAAAAACTGAAAAAGTCTCTATGCTCCCTGTCACATTGCTAACCGAAGCTGTGTGGCTCTTTGTGGCTAGAGCTTGCCTGCAAATATGTGTCTATCTGCAATCCAGGTTAAAAAAGATTTTTGTTTGTTTCAGCCAAAAATGTCAAAATAATTATTTCATTTTCGTCAATGGACCAAAATGCTAATACCAGTTGGTTCAAAGAGCCCTCAATTTGTGACTATGTTATAGACAAAATGACACAGGGCATCCAGCTTTTAATGTTTTTACTATGTCACTAAAATTCTTTCAGTGACAGTAACATAAAGACAAAACACAATTTTGAACAGGAGTCAAAAATAAGAAAAGATTTTAAATGATCCTATCTAGAGGACCAGGGCAGGGGGTGGGACGCAGTTTATATAAACAGTACTATTAAGAAATCCGTGGGGGACAGAGAGGTTTTTGAAAAGAACAACTAAAAAAACCTCTCAATCACTTAATGATAAATGAAACTCAAAAAAGAACTAATTTGCTATTAAATAGAACCAAATCAGCATTACGTCCTTCAGGATTACTGAAAAGAAATTAACTACTGGTCTGTGCTGTGGATCTCTAAAAACACGTAAGTAGACACCAAACGTGTGACCGACCTGGTGTCTGGCTTGGAGGTTGCTTTGCTTGGACCTTGGTTTCCTACTGATGTTATGCAGCTTAAACTTAAAGTACTTAAATTTGGTATGGGTCATGTTTCTTGATGGATATTTAACTATTTTCACCGTGTTTCTCACGTTTCTGCCTAGTTATTTGCCTTTTCTTAAAAAATTATGTGGACTGCGATCAAGTTTAAAAACTCCTCTTCATGATCAGAGAGTCAGTTTCAGTCTGAAGACGAGAGAGCCTCATTCAAAGAATGAGTTCTCTCAGAGCCCGTGTGGGTGTGGTCACCTACCTGGCATTTGGTAAGAATAAGGCGTCTGGCCTGGCTGTGGGGTAGAAAATCCTGGGCTGTAACTGAGGCAGCCACTCTGTAATGGGGACTGAGTTTGAGAAAGTCCGCTTTCTGTCTTGATGGCTGGCAACATCACACCCAAATCTGTTTAGAAAATGGATGCAATAATCATTTCATTAGTAAGATGATCTTCCTTCTGAGCTGTAACCTTACAGTAGAAAACTATGACCACCAGGATTACCTACTTATAACCAAAGAAGGAGGAGACGTGAAATACCGTAAGTGGGCAGGCTGTAGGGCTGTCCTGTCTGTGAGTAGGCTGTGTAGACGGCTGGCTGCTGCATCCCCGAATACTGAGTCTGGCCTGCATAGGCAGACATTGTTTGAGCTGCTGGTGTAGAAAGAATGTGTGGATAGGGCCTAAATATCAGAAAAATAGCATTACTGTGGCAACAAAGACTGCATATTAATTCAGACAGCTTAGATTCAGTGAAACCCTATAATAGCCAGGAAGTAATCTTCCTCTTTATCTATAATATAATCTTAACAATATAGGAATGAACATGAGTCTGGATTATCAGGAGCCCAGACTGTGCTACAAGCCAGCCTAGTGACTGACCATGGGCAAATCATTTTAACTCCTTAAGTCCACACCTCACCTGTAACATGAGAAATTTGGTTTAGGTATTACATCAAAAGGCTCTTCCAAGTCTACGATTTTTGTTTACCTCTGAAATAACACTCCAATTTATATGCAGATGAGGAAAATGGAGCACAGCCCAGCTAATTCACGTGCTCATCTGCATATTTACAGTGACCCTGGATGACCAACACTATGCAATGACTATGAAAACCCACTTATAAGCCCTACCAAGAATTTGAAAACTTACAATTTATAAAAATTAAAATAAAAGGTAAGGGGCTTCCTAAAAAGAAATGGAATGCCATTTCTTTCTTCAAGCCATATTTTATATAATATTCCCCATTCAATCCCCAGCCTATTTATGTAAAGATGCTCTACAGGAAAGAGAAATAGCACACCATGTGTACATGTGTATGTAGCAGGAACACAAACTCGGCACTTCTGTCTAATTCCAACAAGTTCAGATACGCACCCAATATATTAATACTTAAACTTGATTCAATGTCTACCATGGTCCTCACTAAGGTGATTATATTAGTTACAAGGCAATAAGCCCTGTTTATTAGAAATCTTTATATGCCCTTCCAAAATTTCCAATGATATAATGAATAATAAAGTGTTAATGAAAAAAAGAACTAGATTTTCTTTAAACTAAACACATTTTTGCATTTGCATTTAAAAAAACAGTGTACTCTTACTTCAGCTTGATGTTTCCCTCAAGAGTATGTAAGTCCAGACAGGAGAGAATTACCCAGATAAAGGTGGGTATCTCTATTTCAAATTTATATAGAATATTTATCTATATGTCTAATCTACCCAAGAATTGATCCAATTATCTATTTATAATGCATACATATAAATGTTTGCCAACTTAAAGCTGCTATACTATGTGAATACAGACTAAGAAACATAATTCTGAAAAGTTATTCTAACAAACCAGAAAGAATCTACTGACCACTTACTTGGAAGGATAGAGCTGTGGGGAATATTGATGTGCCGATCTGGGGCTGTAGCCACTACTTGTTATGACTGTAAGACACAAACACCAGGGCACAAAAGGTTGCTTCGTAAATTCATTTCACTAGGGGGTACATAACCAATTTGCAGAAATTACCATGTTAAATACAAGTTTCTAAAGAGAAACAGCTACGTAGACACTTTCTCCTAACTCAACGACTTTGAGTTTTGTTCTAAAACCATCAAATGAACATTCCTCTCACAAATCATTCCCTCTGTCCTGTTTCCATTTTCTCAAATCAGTGTCATGATCCTATGTATTCAGATGCTATGAATAAATATCTTTGATTCTAGGCTAATCAGGCTTTCATGACATAATTTTTTAAAATTTTTCAAACTTCACACATGTGACATTTCAAATAGGATGGCAATGTATAAGTATTGCTCTTCTTCCATCTTTATTCTGCTGGAAAGACCATACAAATGTGATGTTCTAACTTTCACTGTGAAATTGTAAAATGCTATTGTATTCTATTTCCTTTCATTTGACCAATCGGATGAGTAGTTACCGAGTCCAAAATATTCTATTAAGAATTAGAATATACGAAGAAAGCATGGGTGACAATGTAATATTTTTCTAAAAGGCATATTCACAGAATGCAGTAGCAATTATTTTTGCAAATATATTTTGAACTATCAGAGATAATACCGTGTGAGAAAAACTTCAAGGTGAAAGTCAGGTCCTGTTAACAGCTCATCCAAACGTGCACCCCCAAACTGGAATCTATCCAAAAGTTTGGAAGTTTCTTTTTCCCTTACCCATCTGTCTTGACCAAGACAGATGTCCTGCAAATATATGGACCCTAAAGTGTGGAGCCGGTCCCTTCAGAGCCGATCTGCACTGGGCAAGGACACAGGGTGTCTTTATTAGGCCATCTGCTGTTCATTCACTTTTCAAAAAGATGAAAGTCGTACACAACACAGTCCTGGAGCTGGTTTAGTCTCATCAATCACAGTTGTACTTCAAAGTACAATGTCCCTTCTAAGTTGTTCATAATAATTCTGGAGCTAAACTTTTAGAGCGGCAGAAGTGACAAATAGGTTTAGGTTGCTAACTATTTTATGAAACATGATATATTTCTATATCCAAATGCTATTAAGTACCCTTGTGATCTATGGCTTCAAACACATGTAGCATTGTGTTTAAAATGCTATTTTGCCTGGAAACCCTAAGTGTATTTTAGTCTTCATTCTAATAGTGTAGTCAGTGTATTTGCAAGAATGTTGTGAGCTAATTTTAAAAATTGTCAAATTTGGCTACACATCTTATGTTCTAAATATTTTCAGCATCCAAATTTTAAGTGAATATGCTGCTATATGCAGTTGAAAATAGATTGACCATAAGCTATTGATTTTCTACTTCTTTGTTAAAAACTTAATATTTAAAACTGTCAAATAAACTCCAGGAGAACAGACTCTTTACACTATAGCCCGAGCACCTTCCATAACACAGTGCTATTTCACAGGATATTCATTCTAATTTATTAGTGCATTAATTCACTTAATGAATACTGAATACACCACTTAGCAGAAATATAGTTACATGAGGCTTAATTCCAAATTAGTTTGTCTCTTTTTTATGAAACTTCACTTTGGCATATTTAAGACTTTGGTTATACCAATCAGTTATTCTCAAGGTTATAAAATAGAAGACTTTCCAAAGAAATGTTGGATAATGAAACATGTATTATAGCAGCTTTAAGCCAAAGAACAAAACTATGTATTTCAGAAAAAAATACAAATACATGAATTTAATTCTGAACATGTAGGATGCTTTTTCCCTTGAATGATGAATCTACACAACATTAGAACCACAGCCCTGCGAAGGCTCAATTAATTTTTAAAATTTCATATTAATGTCTATATGTTCATTTCCTAAGAAGAATACAAAACTTTGAACTCAGAAAACCAATAGATTCACATAAGGAATAAAATTTGGAGAGCTCATACTCCTTCACTAAAATGTATACTTTTCTTAACTCATACATTGTCAGATAACTCAAAGAAACAATAAAACTGAATTAAAGTCAGTTGTGATTATGTTAATCAATGGAAAAAGTGTTCCTCCAAAGGGCAACCTAATCTCCAGAAGGACTGCAGGGTATCATATCCAAATATGGAAGACACCTCCCACGGTCATGCAATTAATCATAAACATTACCCAAAATACTTAATTCACTATATTCCATCATTTTTGGAAGCAAAAAGTAAACAAAACTGCTTGTCTTCAAAACACCCTGAACATTCTTTAAAATAAATGTTTAATGTCTGTGGTCAGTTTCCCAGATGGTGCTGAAGTCATTTTAAGGTTGTATTCTTATTATTGTGATAGTTTAGTTCAGGGATTTGATGGAAGGAGAAGTGGAGCCCTGGAGGGAATTTTGTCTGCCAGGGAAAACATGTCTAGAGACATTTCTGGTAATCACAACTAGAGGCGCTACTGGCACCATGGGCTTGCCAGAGGCAAGGATGCCGGCAAGCACCTGACAATGTTATGGGGTAGAGGACAGCTACCCACAACAAAGAATTAGCTGGGATCTTTAATGGTACTGCTGGTAAGAATCCCTGCCCTGACTGCTTCTGTGATACTGGAAATGTTCTGAGTTGTCCACTATGGTACCATTAACCACATGCAGCTGTTAAACACTTAAAATATGACAAATAAGACTAGAAACAAAATTTTAAGTTTTGCCACATTTTAATTAATTAAAATTTAAATAGTCACCTATGATCAGGGGCTACTTTATTGGACAAAATAGCCCTAGAAAGTTCCTAAGAGAAAAGTGAGACAATATCTACAAAGATAATACGAACAGATTCCAGACGGGATGATTTGTTCGTTCCTATTTCTTTTTGCCATCTTTATATTTTTCCCAATGAAATGATATAGAAAGGACCCTGGGTTTAATCATCAGGACACAGTTCTAGACCCATTTATACCGTGGCCTTGATTGTGAGACTTTAACCACCTTTAACGTCTCTGCATGCCTTGATAAATTTTGTCTATATAAAATGGATCAGGGAGCTCTGGAGCTCATACTCTATTGGGCTTTTTTTATTTGTTTCATTTAGCTTTCAATTAACTTGCAGTATACTATTGAAATATGCCAGCAATTACTTACTAATCATTCTTTTTCTTTAAAACTGGTTCATGGACCATTGACTTGGCAGAGAGTTTTGTATGAGAGTTACGGATACATGAGCAAGCCAGAATGCTAGGGTAAACTGGTATAGCTATCTTCTGGGAGGCAGGTGAATTGCTAGGAAAGATGTAGCTTAACACATAAGACTCTCTACATAAAGTTTATCAACTATTATTTATTTGTTTAGAGTACTCATACTTCATGTAAATATACTTCAGCTGCTTCTAATACGTGTGAACTAATAAAACCGGACCATCTGTATCTATAAAAATCAAATCTATGCGGTAGTGACCTTATACTTAAAGGCATACCTCAACTATTTTCACATAAAGCATACTCACATACAATCCTTGTAACATGAGAACAGGGGTAAATGTAAAATCTGTTAAAGTCGAGTAACAGAACCAAGATTTCATTACCATAAATACTTTTCTAGATTTAATGGTCATTTTTTTGATATATACAATCTTCCTTAGGTTGAAAAAATTTTTTTTTCATCAGATAGTAAGCCAAACAAAATATTATAACTTAGAAAAAAAAATCTTTACATCAACTTAATTTGTGCCCTCTGTGCCCAGCTGGGAGTTATCAGGTATTAATATTTAAAAAGGATTGATGTTTCAAGACATGCTATTGTTCCCTTTGAAGCATACCCATGCTCTCAGAGGCTGGGCTCTAATGCAACCAGCATGTGCTCCCCTGAAGCCCATTAACCTTTAAGGCTTGTCACTCAGCTGCTTACACAGGAGGAGTTTTTTAAACCCAGAGAGGAAACAAGGTTATTTAGAAGGAATCAAATGGATAGTTTTACATCACAAATGTTGGACAGAAGGCAGTTTTCATGTCATTTAAATGGGTAACTTGAAGGAACAAGGCTGGCCATTACAAGCTAATGATAAAATGAATTAAACACTGTATGAAATTATTTCCAAGGAAATCAGCTCTGCTTATGTCTAATAAGAAAGTCACAGGAGTTTCTCTGCCCACTGACAATCCAGAAAAACATGATTCCAGTTGTAATTTCTACATAATTTTATGACAATTAGATGACAACACAAAGTGAATTTATGGGTAAGCTTATACAGACCAGATTTCTAACAACTTGGCTGTTTATGCGGCTTATCCCTACGGAGGAGCACATGCACGCACCCCCACGTGCACGGAAGGACACGCGAGCTAAAGGCTTTACCTGACCCAGTAAAAGTGTCAAGCGCTCCGTCTCCAGTCGTGGCTGTGGTTTCACTGCTGTTCAGGGGCTCTGTTTTGACTGCAAGAAGAGACACTATGTGGAAGAACAAGTACATGTGAGTTTGACTTCTAACGTCTATCAAAGACCCTGACGCTGCCACTAGGGATTTGCTAGCTACCACGGCATGCAGGAGAAAACTCGAGAAGTTGAGGAGGAGAGTTTGGTTAATTGAGCTTCCAAATGGGCATGCATTTATGGAGGGCGTAAGCTAAGAACTTCTGGCTAAGCTAGTTCTCTCCAGTCCAACTGTTAAGGGCAGTCAACCTTGAGAAGTGAAATAGTGGTAGACATATTCCATTTTGAACTCATCTAGGCACCCTCTATTATATCATAGTCAATAGACAGAAAAAAGAAATCATCAGTCTTCAGCACCTTTAATCCAAATCATAACAAGGAGATTCACTGGTTTATATTTTATTTTTCCCAGGGAAATATTTTTTTAGAAAACAATTGCATAGGAGTACAATGGAGGCGTATGCACACAGAAACCAGGGGCCTATTCCCATGATGGGTGAAAAATGAATTTTTAAAATTCATACACATTTTCTGCTATGAAGCAACCAAAGAGTCATAATGCGCTGTGCTTTTTATTTGAACAGCATAACAATTTTAATGTGTTATAGAGATAAGCACAGAATTGGAGGTAACGTCTACGGCAAGTCCAACGGTTTTAAAAAATTACTTCTTTTTAATTATTATGGCTGTATACTAGTTGTACACGTTTATAGTGCACGTGTGATGTTTGGATACAGGCATACCATGTGTAATAATCAAATCATTTTTTTGTGTTAGGAATATTCTAGTTCCACTCTCTTAGTTATGTTAAAGTATACCACAACTTCTTGTTGACTAAAGTCGCATTGTTGTGCTATTAGATATTGTTCGTTCTATCTAATTATCTAACTATATTTGTACAACCACTAATCATCCCCATTTATCGCCCTTATCCCCACTACCCTTCCCAGGCTCTGGGAAGGTAACCATCATTCTGCTCTCAGTCTTTATGAGATAGATCCATTGTTTTAGTATTTAGCTCCTATGTATAAGTGAGAACATGGGAGATTTGTCCTTCTGAGAAGCAAGTACATCGTTTCAAAACTCTCTTAATATGTGTTATTTATATTTAGAAGTGGTATATATTTTGGCAACATCCTTACTTGGCATTGAAGTAGCTTGGCACACATTACTGTTATTATTAGATACAACTTGGGGGGGGCGGTGATAAAGCATCTATCATTTGGTCACACCATATTTTCCCTTTGTTGGCAAAGCTTTACTACATACGTCACAGCAGCGAGGAAATAAATACAATTATTTTCTACTTAACACCTCTTAAGTTTCCTGGTCGTAAATGAAATGAATGATGCAATTCACTAATTCAGAAGCAAGCAGAAAAGTATAAAGAAGAAAAGCTGAAGACTAGTCCAGTATGAAGAAATTTGTCAAAAAGTAATACTGGGGTCACTGGGTAGCCCCAAATGAAGCAAGTCAGTGATGTTATTCTGTTAGAAAAGGAATTAATTTTTGAAAAAGCATGCAGTAATAATTAGGATCTCTCCACATGAACTGAATCCACCACACCCAAATCAGCTCTGGGTTAATTCAGTATTCATGACTTAACAATGACAAGATGATTTGCTGGAAAATTCAGAGGAGAAACGGAAAAATTGGAAAGAGGAGGTAAAGAAACTGGGATTACTTATCTTAGCGAAAGGGAAAATAAGCGTGACCTATCTCTCAACAGCCACCGTGGTCAGCGGTGTCGTGAATGAGGAATCAGCAGTGATTTGCACAGGAGTCCATATTGCAATTATATCTCATTAATAACTAAACTTACCACTATGCAAATTATTTTACTATTTTTGTATTTACTACTACAAAATTATTTATTATTTCTTAAGCATGTACCATGTCTAGACAATGTACACTTAGCTATTACTTAAAACAAACTTGATCGTTATAAATCACTATATTTATTTGATGTGCAAGACAACTGAAGTTCAGGTGAGCTGAGGAGCCTGTTTTAAGTTCCAATGCAGACAATGATAGGGCTAAGATCTGAGCTCCTGTTTTTAGCTCTGAAATCCGTGATCTTTCCACTGATTTAACAGGCTGCCTTCCCGTATGAAAATGGCTTGCGTTCAGGACAAGAAGAAGTAGCAAGTTTGAAAGTAGTTAATAACAACACACAGTCAGAAGGGACTTAATCCATTCCAGGTGCTGATTTTGGCTTTAGAGATAGTAACTCATTTACTCCTCACAACGGTCAGTAGATACTAGTAACAACTTCATGTCTTGGATGAGGAAATTGAGGCACAAAAAGGTTAAAGGACTTGCCCGTAGACCCAGAGCTGGGATTTGGGACCAGGTCGCAAGATGCGTGTTCAGAATCCAGACAGTTTACTGTACTGCTCTCAGCAGCACTAACTAATCAAGCATTTCCTTCAGCTGTAGGAAGATAATCTGGAGCATAATCTAGGTGGGTATGAAGGGTACTGTCTGTGATGCAATGTCCACACTGGATTTTTGACAATAACAACAAAAAGGCACACCTTCAGCAAATCTAATGTAATAGATAGTTTTCTTGGAACTTCCAACTTCTAACCATGGCCAAGTTCCTACTTAAACATGCCTGTATCTATGAACAATATGTGTAAGGCTGATTTATTATACCAATAATCAAATGCATTTCGCTTGCAAAGGCAGGAGGGCAGAGTGTGGGCTGCAGCTAACAAAGCTGGCCCCAAAGCCACACCTGACAATGAGTTTTGTGATTCTGGATTCCAACTTTGAGACTTGACTTTAAAAGACTTAGCAATGATTTTGATTACAATCTCCTCTATTAGAAAGTTTCAGATGGTCAAAAGGAGAAAAATGAAGAGGGAGGGAGGTTTGGGTCTTCCTTCATTATATTGGAAAGATCTCATTAAATCTGTAAGGGTCTGTGTTTAGTCAAAGACAGGGAAGGTTCATTTTGCTCAGAAAAGGCATCTTGAGAAAGTACATGAAGAGAGCAATGAAAAGTAAGACATATTATGTGCACTAAAATGCAAGGATTTTACGTAATAATTCAACAAAATGGGTGCTAACATTTGTGACGCACATTAATGTAAAATGATTTTTCTGAGCCAGGTAAGGGTAGAAAGGAAAAAGAAATTATTTAACCTGGCACAGAAAATATTCCTTTCACATTAAGAGAGCACAACAAATAGCTCCTGAGCTGCAAGTGAGATGCAAAGTTATTGATTTTTTTAAAGAACAGAATAATGAGGTAATAATAAATAATTTGAGTTTTTCAGCAATAGAAAGTTCAAATAGAGAAATGAAATGGAACTTTATATTATTAGCTGGTTTATAAAAAGTATGTTGGAATGTAAAGTAGTACTTCATATTCATATAATGGGTAACTAGTAAACCAGTAAACATTTTCTAATTTACTATAGAGAAAGCTTGCAAGGTATGTTATTTTCACTGAAGCTTCAGATATATTTGAAATGTAGTCTATTTTCTTTTCTGTTATCTTGCTTTTGTTTGCATGTTTTAATTTAGATGTACCGTCTAGTTTTGTAGTGGCCGGAAGCTTTTTAATTCATTAAATATGTGCAAGGAAGAACTATTTGGAAAAATGTTCATTAATAAGACAAATCTTGTCCTCATTATTTTTCTAAAACACGTAAAAATCTTCATGTAAATGATTCCCAGTGTATATTCACTGACATTTCAAATGCATTTTTTAAACTATACTTTGTTTTTCTTAAGTTAACCTGGAGTTAAGCAGGGCTTTTTACTTAATTTTAGGACAGTGTCCAAAATCATGCCGAACTATAAAAAGGAAACAAAATCCTCTGTAGGACAAAAGCAAAGCACCGTATTTCTCAACAAATTTCAAACTTAAATATTTAATGTTTTTATTTCAATAAGTACAATTTAATGGCCTAGGTGAAGAGTTTTGTGGATTTATTAGTCTACATGCTCAAAGAAAATGAGTCAGTATTCATTTTCTTGAAAGTGAGATAAAATAACTTCATATAGCACTTTGTACACAGACTCCTTACAGTAAGAGATATTCTTATTGTCAGGTCCTCCTCTCCACTAATTGTCTACTTGTTCTCGGGATACTTTTAATGGCACTAAAGAGTAAAAATTAAAGACGATTATAAGATAGATAGATGATTGCCACATGTGATTACTGTCACTATTAAATCACTGATTTCCTTTCTTCACAAACCAACGTTCATCCCTACCCCATACTCCAATTTTCAAAGCAAACTTCATCTCATCCCCTCAAGTTATCTTTAGAATTTAAGTACAATATTAGTGTACATTAATTACTTTTGAAGAAAGCCTATTTTATTTATTTATTTATTTTTGAGGCAGAGTCTCACTATGTCTCCCTCAGTAGAGTGCTGTAGCATCACAGCTCATAGCAACCTCAAACTCTTGGGTTCAAGTGATTCTCTTGCCTCAGCCTCTCAAGTAGCTGGGACTACAGGCACCTACCACAGTGCCTAGCTATTTTTGTTGTTGTTGCAGTTGTCATTGTTTATCTGGCTACGGCTGGGCTCGAACTCACTAGCCTAGGTGTATGTGGCTGGCGCCGTAACCACTGTGCTATGGATGCCAAGCTGAAAGCCTATTTTATTATAATATCTCAGAGTTTACTTTCATTTGTTCCAATATTAGGCTTAATTCTTGAAAAGTGACTCAAGTAATTTTCACTTTACATTTCATCTTTAGAAATCTATGTTTAAACTGGTGTCCATTTACAAGACTACATATATGTAATTCCCTATACACATCTTTCTGAACTACAAAATCATAGAGACTTTTGACACCATAATTTCTACAAAGAATTTCAAAAAGAGTTAGATCAGGAAAGTTACAATTTATAACATGGCAGGGGAGCAGTAAGTATTACCTACTGGTTTTAATATTCACCGTAGCCCGTGATTTATATTTGTGGGAATCAAAAAAAAACCCCTAAACTTAGGAGTACCTAAAGTCTCTTATTCCTAAGTAGTCATAAAGTATTTAATTTTTTTAAGAAATAATTATATGAAGCCGTGTATAACTTTTATTCTAAAAAAAATCTGTAAACAATAGAGCTGTAGTAGTTGGTGTCTCTATTGCAAAATATGTAACATGGAGAAGAACATTTGTTACATGGGAGTCGATCAGTTCTACATTAAAAATTCTGGAAGAAGATTCTTTTCTATGATAAAGAGATTTCAAATATCAAAACCATAATAAAGCTGATGAGAACGTCTGATTTCGGTTCCCTTAAACCTTTTCTTTGAAGATTTTACCTAATCTCCATTAGAATCAAACCCTCCCTCCCTCTGCCGCGCATCCACCTTGAATGCATTACGCACTCATTATTCTCGTGCCTGTTCCCCTCTGCTAAACTTTTAGTCCCTGCATGGCCAGTATCATGTTCTTTAGGTCAATGGGTTCTCATTTCCTAGCACAGAACCTGGCATATAATAGGAACTTGATACATTTTAATTAAGTGAGAAAGTGAGAATTCATTCTTTTCTACCCTGCTCTAAGTTCTCCCAATAGATCTAAGTATTTCTGCATGTAAAAATGTAGTGAATTCTGAATCCTGACACCTCTAAGCAAGTAAGAATCTGGAATTACCTGTGTCTGGAAGGAACTTTTCGTATGAGTGGCACGGCTGCACGAATCTACAACATACTTCATGTATTGGTATATGAATCTATATCAGAGGACACGCCATATCTGACCCAGGGTCTGTTTTTGTATGGTCTATAAGCTAAGAATTGTTTTTACTTTCTTAAATAGCTGAAAATTTCCAAAAGAAGAATATTTTGTGACATGAAAATTTTAATGACAATCAAATTTCAGTGTTCATAAATCAAGCTTATTTAAGCACAGCCACAATAATTTGTCCAGATACCAGTGACTGAATAGTGACAACAGAGATCATGGCCTGCAAAGCCTGATCCCAAATTATCAGCAAAGGTATGACCACATTTATTCTATTTTCATATTTTAAGAAATTTACTAGTGCTAAAAATTGGAAAGGAAAACTTAGGTTTCTATATAAATCCACAGATATAATTATATAATTAGGATTAAGGTGATGAAACACTTTACATTACCTTAAGGAACAATGAAACACACTCAAATAGCACCAACATAGTATGATACAATCTTTAAGTCATATTATCAATTTATATTACAAAATAACTAAAATTATCTTTTTTTGAACATTCAGGTTAATGGGAAGATCTTGGAAAAGCCACCAAATTAGCTCTTAGCTTTGCCTTTTGTTTTATTATAATAATTTTACAAAGTCATCTAATTTCAACAATAAAACTTGGAATTAAAAATAGAATATCTTATTCTCAATGGGAGAGATTATGAAATAAGTGTTTATGTGATAAATACCCAGCATAAAAAGTCAGTAAAATTCATTAAAAATTTCATGTACTAATTCATTAAAAATTTCATTTATAATTATATAAATATATATTTATATTATTAATAATCAGAGTATACCTAACATTTTGTTACTAGAAGTTTGCCTTCTTTTCCCCAGTTTACATATTTCTAAGTGCAAAAGAATTTTTTATCTGATACTGGATGTCTTTTAACATCCAGTGAATGTTCTTATCTTCCTTAAAAAGCTCTTACCTCATTATTACTGAATTACTAGAATGGATTATAAGAAGGATGAGACACTGATATTTATTGCCAACTGATTTATATACATTATCAAATTTAAAACAAAAGCCTTGGCTAGGGACGTTACTATTTCAGGAACTGAAGCCCAGAGAGGGTAAGTCACGTTCACTGTTCCAGGCGACACAGGCAGTAAATTGCAGTGCGAAGGTCCAGGCCTCTGGTCCCTAACTACAGAAGCCCTTGCTCTCTTGTGGTCACAAGAGCCTTAACACTAACTGATAACCCGCAATGCTTGAGGTTTAACACTCAGAAGAATGTTTCTCGTTGAAATGAGATATAAATCACTAAATATTCATTGCTTATATTCATTATATTAAACTATTGCCTGTGTTAAAACACTACTTTAAAACAGAACAGCCAGTGAATTAAAAAGGCTTCTTATATATTAAATGTTCTAAAAAATATCAAAATTACAGTATTTCATGACACGTGAAAATTACATAAAATGTAAATAATTAGGACCATAAATAAAGTTTTATTAGAACACAGCCACTCTCGTTCCTTTACGCACTGTCTGTGGCTGCTTTTGTGCTATGACGGCCGAGCTGAGCTAACAAAACGGGGACATGTGGCTTATGAAGCCAACAATACTTACTGTGCAGCTCTTCCCAGGAAAATCCTCACATTGGAATTAAGAAGAACTAAATTATGGCAATATATTTTTAAGTGTGAAAAGTATACTTTAAGTTTGAAATTGAAAAAAAATTAAAATGATGACTATAAAAATAAAAATAATAGGTGTAATGAAGTGCTCTTTATTCAGTGGGCATACATTCTAATTTAATCTAAGAGAGAGCAAGGCCCAGTCAGACTGTGCCTGTTCTCACTGCTTGTTTGTAATGCACATTTCTAATTGGCATCAACCCTTCTTTATCCTGATATGCAGTGATTCCACAAGCATGTGATGGTTTTGTCTTAATTGTTTGATATCGTACTTGATCTAGGAGGAAGTGTGTGTATATGTGTGTGTGAACGCAGTTAATATCTACAGTTCCAAAAATTTGAGCCAATATTAATTTATAATTTTATACGTATAGTTTTCAAAGTGATGGTATAGTCACTATCAATGTTATTGGATACTTTGGGATATTTATCAAAGCATATAAAATGGCAAATATCTTTTTGCCACGTGAAAAATTTAAATTATGAAAGGCTACAGGTTATGAACGTCATTAAGTATATGTCCACTCTGCTTCAATCGCTGTGCTTGATGTGACTGTTGTTGGGCTGAATTAACCACATAATAAACGTATAAGTAGTTAGAAAACCAATATATGCCTCATTTGTGTGAAATTATGAATACATTTAAGAAAATGTAGATCTAAAAAATCTAAGAGTAGAATACCAATTGATAAGAAAAGCACAACCAACTGTTACCAAAAAGCAACTAAAAGGCCTATTCATTTCTCCTTATTCTGTATATCAGTACCAAACACAGAAAAGGGGTGCAAACACAGAAACAGCAACAGACAGCAAACCGGAGGGGCAAATCCACACACCCACACACATGCAGTGTACCATCAGCTCTCATACTTGTTGCAGAAGAGGGGGTGTTGCAACTCAGCAACCAGTCAGCTGTGTTTAAAACAGTCATGTTGTCCCCTGAGAATAGGAACAGTATAAGAGTTCATTGCCTGAATGCCTGCTGAGTGGATATGAATACACTTCAATGCTTGCCCGGGTTTCTGACCTTTCAGCTAAAATTATAACTGCCTTGTATGACTTCTACATGTTAGCTTATCAGGTCTGTTCTAGTTCAGTCAAATATACGTACATGATGATTAGTGAACTTCAAGGTCTAATTCTAGAGTGCCTGGGTTTTTTAATCTTCCTATTTGTACTGCATTTCAGGTTTAAATGTAAATGTTCTCACTCGAGTAGTCAATCACTAAATTTTCTTACACATTTGCAATCCCATAATTAATTAGCTGAAATTACAGATGCATGTTTAGAGACACATAAACATGATAAACAAGGAAAATGTTAATCTACAAAGGATGTGGTGTAAAACATTATTAAATACGGGTAAGTTGCAATGCACACAACTTTACAAAGAAAGTTTTAGATTGCACAGTTATTTTAAAACAAGTGGGAAGAGGTGTCTCAGTTTGATGGGTATTTACTTAAGATTTAACAGAAAATATGATGTGGCAAATGCTGATATCTAGTAATATAAATGGTTCATTAATTGCAACACATGTCATATAGTTTTTAATTTATTTACTGGAGCAGATCCGCAAAATTTCAAAATGCTTGTGAATAATAAATGGAGCTTATATGTCATATGTGTGCATATGTACATCATCTTTTTATATAGACATATTTTGATACAAAAATTGGGTCATATTCTCTGACAAGAATGCATTTGATAAGAACAAGACAGCAGAATATTTGAAATAATAGCTATTGTCAGTGCCTAAGCTGCAGCATAATCCTGGGCTAATCCCAGGAGAAATTACCTGGAAAAAATTCCTTTGAATAAAGATTAAGTATTATTCTCTTTGAAAAGAAAATGCAGCAGATACAAACTTTTGTATTTCCAAACCATTTTTATGAATAACTTTTTTTTAAAGAAAAACATTAAAGTAAACTTTTTGTACAACTCAACGTAAAACCCAAAGCTGGTGGGGAGATTATATGTGTATAGATATACTTTTGGTAACATCAAGATACCAAATCCTTCGGCCTCAATTTCTAAATATTTTGGGGATATTTCTAATGGCAACTACAAAAAGGGAGGCTTGCGATAAAGGACCTCAGAATGTTGCCCAGGACTATTCTTTCTACATGTTTCCAGTTATAGAGAAGGACCAAAAATTTCAAGAAAAATCACTAGAACAATAAATAAAATAAATAATATATTAACCACATATTCCTTAGATAATACATTAACTCCATATTCCTTAGAACGCTGATTGTTATTGATAGTAAGATATTTACTAGTGGATCCCTAACACGTCAAATTAAAACGAACATTGAGATGTAATTCTGGGTCTGTTCAGCATGGGGCACTTACCTCCTGTCCCATTCGTAGTGACTGATGTGCTGCTGAGATTAGGTTTATCCAGTTTGGAGCTACCGGGAGTATCACTACCTCCAACAAGAGTATGAGGACTTGCTAGGTCCTGCATTTCCATAGACCTGTTAGAATAGGAAGCAGCAGAGCACAACTTGAAATTTCAGCAATCATTTTTAAATATATTTCATATATTACCCTACTAAGCCTGTGTGTGATCTCACAAGAATAACTGAGACCAGTACCTAAGACTTAAACAAGTAAACATACTAGTCCATCTACAAATAAATAAGAGGAGCCTCCACAGTACATTAGGCCTCATAATCTGTGCATTATTTGTAATCCTACAATTCCATACAATAATGTAAGGGGAAAAGAAAACATATCCTGTCACCTTGACAGTTTAAGCTGATTTAGATACCCTCCCAAACTGATCAGCTCTGCTTGATAAGCAAGAAATTCCGAAAATGCTAATTCCCCATACTTGGCATCTGCTGCCATCATTAAGGAAGACATCAGGAGCCAGAAATAAAAGTGTAAACTCAAAACCAGAGCAGAAGCTTCCAGCTGACCTTGTTGACCCAGGGGGTTGAAAAATGAGCCTGAGGCCCGAGAGCTGGGGTTGTAACACTTTTAATATCCATTCAGGAATGGAAGACTGACTTAAGTTTGTTCCAAGGAATGTGCTAGACCCAAAATAAAACTAGGATTCTTGAAAAGGCTGATCCTATTTTGAAAAGAAAACTAGAAAAAAGAACTGCCTGGTGGCCCCAGAAAGCTACACGTGCTTACACAGAAGAATTATACAAGATAAATGAAAGTTGAGAGAACGTCTCACAAACAACTTGAGCCAGACAAAATACTAAAAAGGCTTTCAGTTGCTATAAATAACCAGATGGAAACTCAGACCTGCAGGAAGGAATGAAGAGTAACAGAAATGTAAATATATAGGGAAATAGGAAAGGTTATTTTTCATTTTTCTCTCAATCATGAAAGATAGTCTCCTGAAGCAAAAACAATTACACCGTATTATGGGACTTATAATATGGTAGAGAAATAAAATATATGACCAAGACAGCACAAACAATGATGGGGTGAAATTATATATTTTTAAAGTTCTTTTATTTGGTGTTACAAAAAACTTGGATAAGAGGGAAGTTTGGTGTGCATAAAGTAATTTCTACCAGTAAATATTAGTAAGAAAATACCAACAGGTAGAACAAAACGTCAACAGACTACTTAAATAAAATTTTAAAGATTTTTTTTTTTGGCCTAACTCCAAAGAAGCCAGGAAAAGAGAAGGAGAAAGAGAAAGAGAAGAGAGAGAGAGGGAGAGAAGAGAGGGAAAGAGGGAGGGAAGAGATGAAGGGGGAGGGAAGAAAGGAGGGAAGGAGGAAAGGAGGGAGGGAGGGAGAGAGGAAGGAAAGAAGGAAAGAAGGCAGGCAGGCAGGCTTACCAAGATCGCACACTCAAACCCAACCACAGAGATGATTACACTAAATATCAATGAACTAGACCCTCCAATGAAAAGCTAGAAATTGTCAGATTAGATTACACAACTGAGACGTAACTACAGGGAGTCTACAAGAGAAGCACTTTAAACGTATGCACACAGTGATACCACGGTGCACTACACAGACATCCAGCTCTGGGACTGAAGAACTCATTCCCACACCTGCTGGTAGTATTACCAGCTGGCAGCTCTCAATGGAGTTTCTTTCCAGGACTTGCCCTCAACTGAACAGAATAACTTTGCCCAAGATCGCACTCTTTCTGAGGGCAGCCCTCACCTACCACACATCATGTAGGGGTGTAATGATTATACTTTCTTTCTCCAAGAGACATCCTAGTCTAGGGCCCCCCATAAGACCAGATGAGACCTTCGTTGCCACTAAAGTACAGATCAACATCACCCAGTCCAACTCTGCTTTCTTTATGCCCCCAAAATGGATGATAGTGAAAGCACAACCCAGATAAACTCTGCACAAAATTCTCCACCTTGGTGTCTGCTCCCCGGGAACCTGATTGCTAAGGATCAATTAGGTTGAGAGCAAATGAATGGAAAATGATATACCATGCCATGCAAATATAAGGAACATAAGAAAGACGCTCAGGCTATAACAACAGCACACAAAATAGGCCTCAAGATGAAGACCATTAGCAAATATAAAGAGAGAAATTGGAAAATGATGAAAAACAATAAATTCTTCATTAAGACATAACAACCATAAATGTGCTTTTACCTACAAGCAGAGGCATAAAATATATGAAGCAAAAAACCGATAGAACTATAGAAAGTAAATCCATGATCACAGCTAGAGCTTCTATAACGTTTTCAAGGTGACCAATAGAAAAAAGTAGCAAAGATAAATTTAAAAGATATATACATAAGTTTTAAAAAGTATTATCACCCATCTGACCTAATTGATAGTTATAGGACACTAACACCCAATAATTATAAAATACACATTATTTTCCAAGTACCTATGTGACATCTACCAAAAGGACTACATGCTAGGCTATAAAAGAAATCTTGATAAATCTTAAAATAGGCATCTTACAGATATGGTGTCTGACTGTAATGAATTGATTTAGAAAGCAGTGGTAATAAGATACATCTTAAAAATCCCCAATGTTTGAAAATCAAATACCACACTTCTAAATAACCTATGAGTCAAAGAAAAAATATTATGAGTGAATATAAGAAGCATTTAGGAGCAAATGACAGTGAAAAGGCATCAAATGGGCGGTGCCTGTGGCTCAAAGGAGCAGGGCGCCAGCCCCATAAGCTGGAGGTGGCAGGTTCAAACCCAGCCCCAGCCAAAAAAATAAAGGCATCAAATCAAAACTTGTGGCACACAAATAGAGTAATGGTTAGTGAGAAATAGTTATATTACAAAAGAATAGTTACAGATAGAATGTAATCGTCTTATATTACAAAAGAGTAAAATCTGTGATCTGATTTCCACATTTGGAAACTGGAGAAAGAAAAACAAATTGAAACGAAAGTAGGCAGAAGGGAACAATAAAGAACAGAGGTCACTGAGATAGAAAATCTATGAACAAAAGAGAAAATGTATAAATCAAAAAGAGGATCAGCAGAGGTGCCAAGGATTTAAAAGGATAATAAGGGAATATTATGCCAATGAGTTAAATAATAGATAATATCAGTGAATTTCTTGAAAGACATGCATATAAAATCTTATCCAATAAAAAGAGAAAATCCGAATAGTTTTATATCAATTAAAGAAACAAAATTCACACTTTTTTTATGTATACATTAATGCATTTATGGGGTCCAATGTGCTGATTTCATATAGAATTAGGAGTGTTTACATCACACTAGTTAATATATACCTCATCTCATTTACTTAATTATTGTGTTAAGACATTTATACTCTATATTGATAGATCCGACATGTACCCTTGCATTATGCACCGTAAGTGTGATCCCACCATTCACCCTCCCTCGATCTGGCCTCCCCCTTCCATCCCTCCTCCTCTTTCCTTCATCCTGGGCCATAGGTGTGATCTATTCTTCATATAAGAGAATTCACACTTTTCAAAAAAGAAAACTCCAGGACTCTATGGTTTAATTAGCAAAAGCTAACAACATTTAAGAAAAAGTGATTTTCCTTTCATAAATTCCTTCAAAAAATGGTAGGAGGAAACACTTCACTCCATTGTAGGAGACCAGAATTACCCTTACCTCAAACCTGGCAAAAACAATTTTAAGAAAAGAAAATTATGAATCTGTATTTCTAAGAAACATACATGAAAAAATATCTAACAAAATATTCTCAAATGAAATCCAGCAATAAAAAAATAATCACGACCAAGTGTGGTTTATGGCAGAAATGTAAACCTGATTTAACATTTGGAAATTCATGCAATTTGATATATTAACAGAATATTATTTCCATGAGTGCAGGAAAGTATTTGACAATATTTATCTCTTATTCATGATACAAACTCTTGGAAAACTAGGAAAATAAGTATTTTTCCTCCATCTGATAAAAACCACTCTTGGAAAATCTATACCTTATATTAAATGTGTATTTAAAGGTGATATATTGGATTATTTCTGAACCAATGTAAGAACGTCTGCTTTTCCTTGCTTCAACACATTTTACTAGCAATCTTAGGCAGTACAAGATGAAAACAAAGAAATAAAAGAGGCAAAGTTAAAAAGTTTAGGAAAAAACTTTAATTTATAAATGATATAATTGTTTATATAGAAAAATCTGAGAAATCCATCCCCCAAACCCCCAAAGCACTAGAACTCACAAGTGAATTTAGCAAAGTTACATCAACAAGGACTTTGCCCACACTAAATAAATTATGAACTAAAAATATCTGAAACTTCTCCAGCTCAAACACTAAAATATCACAACAGTAGTTGTTTAGCAGGTTGGAGGTTAGGCTATCCATGGTCCAGCTTCAGCTCAACTTAACTCCAGGGTAGGTCTATATGCACAGACCTCACCTGAACCATCAGACAGAGGATCGAACTCATACTCATTGTGAAATAAAACACAACAGAAATACCATGCTTCAGTCTCTCCTCATTATTTTGTATATAATATTCAGAATACTATAAATACATATATCATATATATATTTTTTTCTGAGACAGAGTCTTACCCTGTCACCCTGAATAAAGTGCCATGGCATCATAGCCCACAACAACCTCATTCTCCTGGGCTCAAGTGATCCTCATACCCTGGCTTCTCTAGTAGCTGGGACTATAGGCACCTGCCACAGCATCCGGCTAGCTTTCTATTTTTAGTAGAGATGGGGTCTCACTCTTGATCAGGTTGGTTTGAACTCCTGAATTCAGTTCAAGCAATCCATGTGCCTCGACCTCCCAGAGTGCTAGGATTACAGGAGTGAGCCACTGTACCTGGCCTACTATAAATATTTTGAGACATAACAAGAAGCAGAAAAATCTGATTCCTAGTGGAGAGACAAGACAGCAAATAGAAGGAGACCCATGTCACTACCCAGATTTTGGAATTAACAGATGAGGATTAAAAAACTAATATGAACATATTAAATGACTTGTGGGAAAGGATACAACACGTAACGTATATACATATCTATGTATCACATAGATACACACATACATCACATATATGTGCCATATATTAATCT